TCTCCTTGTCCTCCTTGACGTCTCTGCTACCTTCGACACCGTTGACCACTCTATGCTTATCTACCGCCTCTCCTCTCACCTGTACCCGTACCTCTCACACCGCTTCCACTTTATCTCCACAGACGGCTTCTCCTCCAGCCCCCGCACCGTCTCGTGCGGCGTTCCTCAGGGTTCTGTCCTTGGTCCCCTCCTCTTCAACATCTATATGCTCCCTCTGGGTGTCATCATCCGCAGACATGGATCAACTTCCACATGTATGCGGATGACACCCAACTGTACCTCCCTGCCCCCATCCTTTACTCCAGGACCCACTGTTGTCATGACAGAATGTCTGTCAGAAATCTAGTCCTGGATGAGAGCTAACTTTCTTCAGTTCAAAGTCAACAAGACTGAGCCTCTCCTGATTGGCTCCCGTCAGCGCCTCAACACCTAAAGGCGCTGACAGCATCACCATCCATGGATGCACATTTCACCTTACTAAGCCAGTCTGGAACTTTGGCATCTTGTTTCACCCTCAACTATTGTTTCTACCTCACATCAGCGCCATGACCCGCTGTGCCTTCCCCACCTCTGCAACATCACCCAGCTCCGACACTGTCTCACACCACAGACCGCCGAAACCTTCACACATGCTTTCATTACATCGAGGCTCGACTTGCTTGTCAGCCTCCCCAACTCCTCCCTTCACAGGCTGCAGATCATCCAGAGCTCCACCCTCCCAATCGCGAACCCCAGCTCGGTTCCGAAACACTGAATGTCCAGCGCCTTGGGACATCAGCCCAACGTGAAAAGTGCTATACAAAAGTAATTTGTTGTTGTTGAAACTGCTGTGCTCAATTGGTTGCTGCATTTCGCCCATAAAATACACAGTCAATGCACTTTACAGTGTATTCTGTGAAACGTTTTGAGACGTCTTGAAGATATGATAAGGCACAATATCAAATGCAAGGATTATTATTATTGTATTAGCAAAGGGAGTTTTTCCCAGTGTCCTGGCCAACAATCTCCCAGATCAAATTTGGTCATTCACTCCATGGTGGGACACTGCTGTGCACAAATTGGCTGCCGCGTTCACTTACAAAATACAGTCACTACATATCACAGTATAACCTTAAAGTGCTTGCACACATTTTCCCAACATGAAAGGCACGCCATCAAATGTAAAGATTATTTAGTATAAATTTACTGTAACCACAACAAGTATTAAGTATTAAGTATTAAAGGCGAGATTCTAAAACATTTCTTTACACAAAGAGTGGTTCGAAAGTGGGATGTGGGAAAGTGGAGTTCATCAATTCTTTAAAACGTCAATAAGATTGAGACGCCTGAAAAACAGGAATATTAAAGTGTTTGGAAGGTGAACAGATTAGAATTATATCAGGCATCTTATGTGGAGTGAAAGATGATAGGTTAAATAGCCCCTTTCTGTGCTTTTCTTTTCTCTTGAAAACAGGAGGGTAAGGAGTGACCTGATAGAGGTCTTTAAAATGATGAAAGGTTTTGATGGGGTTGACATAGGGAAAATGTGTCCACTTGTGGGGGAGACCAAAACCTGGGCCATCAATATCAAATAGTCACAAATAGATCAAATAGGGAAGTTAGAAGAAGTTTCTTTACACAGAGAGTGGTGGGAATGAGGAACATTCTACCATAAGGAGTTGTTGAGGCAAATAGCAAAGATGTACTTAAGGGAAAGCTGGAGAGGTACATGAGGGAGAAAGGAATAGGAGGTTCTGCTTGAAGGCTTAGTTGAGGAAGGGCAGGAGGAGGCTCATGTGGAGCATAAACACCGGCACAGACCAGTTGGGCCGAATGGCCTGTTTCTTACTGTATATTCTAATGTATACGGGTCTGAAATGCTGCACTCTGTCCAGCGCCTCCCGACCTGAAAGGCGCTATACAAATGTAATCTTGTTGTTTTTGTATACCTCTGGGAAATTCTTGTGTGCAAAATTGCTGCTGTGTTTGCCCACAAACATAGTCACTATACTTGATTAAGATACTTCAATATGACAAGCTGCTATATAAAACAAATTCTTTTTCTGCTATGAAAAACAGAATTAGCAGCAATCAGACTTAGGCCAGTTTTTCTGAGGATGGAATATGCTAGGCTGCCTACCTGGGAGCATTTGCAGTTGGGGGTTTCTCTTCCCCAATACCAACCTCCCTCCTTAAAGGAATAAACAGCAGGAAACCCAAGCATCATAAACAATTGTCTTGTAGTTCATTTGATAGCAACAAATATGCAAATACAGTACTTCAATTTTAAAAAAATGCAGTTTTGATGACAAAGTAAGTACATTCTGCAGACAAATACAGCGGATTATTTTCAAATCCTCTGTATTTTATGTTCTGTGACGCTACTCTCTTGCTCAAAATGTTAACTGCAGGACACAGTAAATCATTTTACAGTAAAAAGTGGCGCCAGCTTGGCCACAGCCACAAAACATCTGCTGAGTGTATAACCTGGAGCTCCTCCCATTCCATATCCTGAATCACAATCTTCATTCACACACATTACCTTTTCTTCAACATACCTTGGTAAATGTCAATGTAAGATTAAAAACAATTGAAAAGCAGCTGTATCAAGTAACATGTAGAACTCTTAAAGGAGCCGACATAAATACACTGACCTTCTTCTGTACTGTACATCCTTTTGTATTATTCTACAGTTCTAACTGCATGAAATGTAACACTGCAAGAAACCCTATGGACAAGATTGTGAAACAAAAACATATTATAAAGTCATGTGTACTTCAGGCTTTGACAAATCAATTCCCGGAAACTGTCACAGACTGAAAGAATTCCTTTCTACAGTCAGCTACTGATCCAGCATCAACTTTCCATTACTCAAAACATTAAACAGACTTGAGATACAGTGTCACGCTGGCTGCCTTTCAGCAATACACACCAAATTAACACAGTAGAAAATGATGATCCATCTTCGTCAGACCAGAGTATATTATTTTACCTTGTCCCAGATCCCACTGAACTTTGTTCAACATTTCACTCAGTTTTAATCAGTCAAGCACCAGCATAAGTTGCTGATTAATTTTGCAAATACATAGTCATCTACAGTGATAATCTTCATTGACAATAGCAGTAATTTCAGAAGAATCTGTTTGCAATTTCAGACAACCACAGATGTTGTTTGCAATCCAAGCCAATCATCTTCCTTCCATGCATATATGCCAAATGACATCACTGAAGAATTGTTCAATGTGGTGCTAAGAGTAGGGTCATTTATACAAATGTGCTCATGTAAATCCAAGTTAGAAATAGGTTGATTGTGAGCACCAAGATCATTTGGACAGTTATGGGGCAGTAAATTCCTTCACTTGTCACCCAAAGGCGGAATGCTGCAATTTCCAACATTTTTCATCAGCAGTGAACCATGATATCACTCCAAAGTCATCTTGTATTATTCACTTCACATACAGAACAACTACAATTTGCATTTATACAGCGACCTTTACATCTGAGCGTCTCAGAGTGCTTAAATTAAATATATGGCAATTAAGCTGCAAAACAGGATTCAAAAAAAGAAAAATTTAATGTCGAATTTGGACCTGCATTGTTGCTTTTAATAAAAGATGTTTTTCTCTCTAAACCTCATTTTTCTCCTCTCCATCAGGCACACACACTTCACTCATACACTGAGTATGGTTTCATTGGTACCTCGCCCAAGTAGGGATTTTTCCACAAACAAATGTTGACAAACTTCATCTGACATAAATATGCAAAGAAACATGCAATGAAACACAAAAGCTGGCACAACACGCACATAGAAATAGGAGTAGGCCATTCCGCTCCTCGAGCATGTTCCGCCATTCTATAAAATCATGGCCAATTTTGTTGCTGTTGTTTGATCTCACACACATAAACAGACTGGTACAGCACATACACACCACGGCCTCCTGGCTCAGTTGATTGCACTATTGCCTCTAAGTCAGAGGTTGTCAGTTCAAGCCCCACGTCGGGAATTGGAACCCATATGGTTTACACTGACACAACAATGTAGTACTGGAAGATCGGAGGTGATGACCTTTGGATGAGACAATAAATTGAGGTCCCATCTGCCTGTCCAGGAGGATGTTAAAGATCCCATTGAGCTGCATAAAAAGGGGAGTTTCTCAAGACATCCTGGCTAACAATCCTCTACATACAGCCATCATAAGAACATAAGAATTTGCTGGCGAAAGAAGACCAAGGTTCGCCTTCCACCATCCTCTCCTGGCAGTCGCTTGACATGTCTTGTCCCAATCTATACACTGTATTAGCCCCAGATATTATTTTCCAGCAGAAACCTATCTAATCTGTTCTTTTCTGTCTCCACGGTCTGTCTCCCTCGGGAGCCTGTTCCTGTTACTCCTCGCTCAGTGATGTAGTGTCTCCGCAGATTTGTTCTGAATTTACCTTCAACCATTTACCTGAAGGCTGTTTACCTTCGAGACCCTCCAGTCTTGCTGCCCCCCACCTCTCCGACCTCATAACCCCATCTCAGCCGGTCCGCGCCCTCCGCCAGACCCGCACCTCCTGCCCCATCATTGTCGTTTGGGCATTCACTATCTCTGCCCCCACTCTGAAGCTGTACCCCGCAATCCCTCCGCCTCACGCGCTCTCTTGCCGCCTTCAAGTCTTTGACTGTGCCTTCGTCCACCCTCCCACCCCGGGTCCGACACCCCTGAACGCCCAGCGCCCCGGGACGCCTTCCCGACATGAATCGCGGCGCTGCACAAATGTAATTTGTTGTTGTTTATTGGCTTTCCAGCGGCCGCCTGTCAATCATTGCCGATGAGACGCGTAACCCCGCCCCTTCCTGACACCTATTGGTCAAACACGAACCAGGCCCCACCCCATCTGTGCTGCCATTGGTCGCACTAGGTGTCAGTCACTGAGCCCGGCCTCAGCAGGTTAGGCTGAGGCCAGTTAGTAAAGTTAGTGAGAGCGCGTACCCCCTCCCCCCGCCGCGGCCCCCCGCTCCCCCGCCCCGCACTCACTCCTTCCGCAGCTGCGCCGCAGTCCAGGCAGCTGCCAGTCTCTCCTCTGCTCACACGGACAGTCACTCCATCACCCCGCAACTCCCAGGCCGCGGCCTCCCGCGCTCCAACTGTCATCGCGCGCAGCGCCGAAGCCAATCAGCGCCCGTCCCACTGCCAGCCAATCAGCGCCCGTCCCACTGCCAGCCAATCAGAGCCCGTCCCACTGCCAGCCAATCAGAGCCCGTCCCACTGCCAGCCAATCAGAGCCCGTCCCACTGCCAGCCAATCAGCACACGCTTCGCCCGCCAGCCGATCAGTGAGGCGGAGTGACGGGGGGGATGGAGTTCCAGAGGTTGGGGGCAGAGTGGCTGAAGGCTCTCCCACCAATGGTGGGGCGGGTGGGTCGGGGGGTGTGGAGCAGCCGGAGCGGCTGAGCGGAGGGAGCGGGTGGGTTGGGAGGGGGTTAGGAGGTCACCGAGGTGGGGTGGGGTGGGGCGAGGCCATGGAGGGCTTTGTATGTGAGGACCAGGATCTGGAACTGGATCCTCTGTGTGATGGGAAACCCGTGGAGTCGGGCGAGGATGGGGGTGATAGGGTCATGGAGTTTGGTGCGGGAGAGGACACGGGCTGCAGAGTTCTGGATGATCTGCAGCTGTGGGGGGAGGAGTTGGAGGCCGACACGCACGGAGTGCATAGTCAAGCCTGGATGTAATGAAGGTGTGTATGAGGGATTAGGTGGCCTACAGTGTGAGACAGTGGCAGAGCCTGGACAACGTTGCTGAGGTGGGGAAAGGCACAGCGGGTCATGGCGCTGATGTGAGGTAGAAACAATAGTTGAGGGTCAAACAAGATGCCAAAGTTCCAGACTGGCTCAGTGAGGTGGAGTGTGCATCCATGGATGGCAATGCTGTCAGCGCCTGAGGGGACACTGTGTGCAGTTCTGGTCACTGCAATATAAAAAGGATAGTGTAGTAATTGAGAGGATACAGAGGAGCGCAACCAAAATGATTCAGGGGAATAAGAGTAGTAAATGTATGGAACAAACTCCCCAGGGAACAAATTAGATAGATTTCTGTTAGGAAATAATATTTCAGGATACGCTATATAGTTTGGGACACAACATGCACACGCTACTACCAGGATGGTGGAAGGCAGGGTTAGGATCTTAAAGTCGATCCTCTATGGGACAGGCAACCAGTGCAGTCTGGCAAGGACTGGGGTAATTGGGGAGCGGCGTTTGGTACGGGTAGCAGAATTTTTTATGACCTGGATTTTATGAATGGTAGTGGAGGGGAGACCAGCGAGGAGGGCATTTGAATAGTCCAGCCGAGAGGTGACAAAGGCATGGACCAGGGTTTCAGTGGCTTTCGGAGAGAGGTATTGGCGGAGACGGGCGATGCGTCAGAGGTGGAAGAAAGCGGTGCTGGTGAGGGACAAGATGTCGGGGAGGAAGGATAATTGGGGGTCGAACCTGACGCCTGGGTTGTGTTCGGGTTTGAAGAGTTCCAGGGAGACTTTGGGTAGGTGGAGGAGGTGAGAACTATGTGATTTTAGATGTTGACGAGAGCCAAAGAATATGGCTTCCGTGTTGTCAACATTTAGCTGAAGGAAATTTGCGCTCATCCAGCCCCTGAGATCTGACAAGCAGAACAGAACATCAGGGGACTGGGGGGGTTCACACAGAGAGGTGGAAAATAGAGTTGCGTGTCGTCCACGTACATGTGGAAATGTACCCCATGTCTGCGGATGACATCCCCAAGAGGGGATAGATCAGAAAGAGGAGGGGGCCAAGGATGGATCCTTGGGGTACCCGCAGGTAACCCGGTGAGAGCGGGAGGAGAAGCCGTTTGTGCAGATGTACTGCTGGTGGTTTGTGAGATAGGACTCGAACCGGGCGAGTGCGGTCCCACTGAGGTGGATAATGGAGGAAAGGCGGTGGAGGAGGATGGTGTGATCGACTGTGTCAAACGCCGCGGAGAGGTCCAGGAGGACAAGGAGGCAGAGGGAGCGCTGGTTACAGATAGAGCGGATGTCGTGTGTGACTTTCACAAGTGCAGTCTCTACTGTGGGCGGAAACCGGACTGGAGGGGTTTGAAGAGGGAGTGAGAGGAGAGGTGTGCGCGGAGTTGGTTGACAACGACGCATTCTAGGACTTTTGTGAGGAAGGGCCGGTTAGAAATAGGGCGGTAGTGGCTGGGGTTTGAGGGATCCAGGGAAGGTTTTTTGAGTGAGGGGAGAGGAGGAGGGAGGAGTTGGAGCGAAGAGTAATGGGAGAGGAGTTTGTTACAGATAAACAAGATACTCCATAGAATAGAAATAATAAATTTGGTATAGCCTCTTAAAAAAAATCAATAATCATTTGGTTACTTAATCCACGACTGTGTTGTTCACTATTGTGTGCAATTGGCTGCTGCATTTTGCCCACAAAACATACAGTTAATCAAACAAAAACAACTTGGATTTATATAATAATAATAATCCTTGCATTTGATATAGCGCTTTTCACGTCGGGAGGACGTCCCAAAGCGCTTCACAGAACACACTGTAAAGTGAATTGACTGTATATTTGTGGGCGAACGCGGCAGCCAATTGCGCACAGCAATGTCCCACAAACAGTCGTAGATTGAAAATGACCAATTTATTATTGTTTTTGGTTTTGGAGGGAATATTATTAGGCTCTGTGTGGAGTAAGGAAACTTGCCCAAGGTTTCGCCCTCTGCCTGGAATTGAACTCAGGTCTCTCACTTGCAAAGCGAGTGCTCTAACCAGTGAGCTACAGGACTCCACGAATATAGCGCCCTCCATGCCGGATTTATTTACTCCACACGCCTCTGTTTACCTAGCAGCAGAAACTGCTTATCCGTCGATTGATGAATCATAATCACTTTAAAAAAATCAATAATCATTTGGTTACTTAATCCACGACTGTGTCAGCTGCCTGTCAGACCTCAGGGGTTGGATGAGCGCAGATTACCTTCAGCTGAACGTTGACAAGACGGAAGCCATACTCTTTGGCTCTCGTCAACGTCTAAAATCTCACGGTTCTCACCTCCTCCACCTACCTGACCTCCCCCTAAAAACTCTCTGAATCCATAGGCATCAGGTGCTTGAGAAGATATCCTGGGACAAGAGGTGACTGGGAACGAGCTCCAGTACCTCGCTGGCTTCTTGTACTGGCTCTGGAGTCAACGACCTCTCCCCTCATCCTCAACCCTCCAGACACGCAAGGTCCAGGCAGAAACCTGGCCATTAGGCACGGCGGGCACCCAGCAAGAGCTTCCCTCACATGTCCTGCTCGTAGAAGCTGAGATGTTGTTGGTGTTAGGATTAAGTCAGACACCGCTCTGCCTATCCTCACCTCCCTAATATCACCCGACTCCACCACTACCTCACCCCTCAGGCCACTGAAACTCTTATTCATGCCTTCATCACTTCCAGGCTCGACTATGCAAACTCCCTGCTTGTCGGCCTTCCCAACTCCTCCCTCCACAGCTGCAGATAATCCAGAACTCTGCAGCCCGTGTCCTCTTCCGCACCAAACTCTGTAACCCCATCTCCCCCATTCTCGCCTGACTCCATTGGCTCCCTATCCTTCAGAGGATCCAGTTCAAGATCCTGGTCCCTACATACAAAGCCCTCCATGGCCTCGGCCCACCCTACCTCTGTCACCTCCTAATCCCCTCCCAACCCGCCTACTCCCTCTGCTCAGCCGCTCTGGCTGCTCCACACCCCCCGACGCACCCACTCCACCATTGGCAGGAAAGCCTTCAGCCACTCTGTCCCCAACCTCTGGAATTCCATCCCCCAGTCACTCTACCTCGCCCCCTCCTTAGCCTCCTTCAAGTCCTGCCTCAAAAACCCTCCTCTTCGACTATGCCATCGGCCACCCTGCTTCTCTTTCCCCACCCAACCCGGGTCTGAAATACTGTATTGTCCAGCCCTTTGGGACATCCTCCGGACGTGAAAGGCGTTATACACTTGTAATCTTGTTGATGAGTGAAGACTCACCACCCAGGGACACAATTACTCCTTGCACCTCAGTGATGAGAGCCGAGCACATCCACCAGGTCATCTCAGCAAAGTCACTGCCCTCCCTCCTCACCACATGTCACTGTGGGGACAGAGCCTGGAGGACAGGCACAGGGTGCGGCCAGCAGGTGAGGGCACAGTTCAGCTGCTCACTAAAATGGCTTTGACCTGAACGAGCAGCTCACCTCCATGGCTTGTGAGAGGCAGCCCCACTGTTAGTATAAGAAAAGGTTAACAAAATAGATGGCTCATATTCAGCGACCTGTGAGTAGAGAGCCTGACTAGAGACCACGGGAATGTAAGGTTATGAAAACATACTGATTGAGGAAGAACAGGGAGTCGGACAAGGAGCTAAATAAGGAGGAAAACTAGTCTCAGCAAGCAAGAGGGACATACACGAGGGCAAATAGGCTAGTGGAAAAGTAACAACACAAGTAGATCGTAGTACACCAACTAGCGGTATAATTACAACAAAGAAAAGTTGAGCTCCACAGAGCAAGAAGTACAAGTTGCTGAGCCGAATGCTGGTCATCAGGCAAGACTGCTTGTCTGGTAGTATATTTCTGTTATATTGTTGAATAAACTGTCTTGATTGTATAACTCTGTGTTCAGACCTTTATTGGTTAATGGCAAGGATCCAATTAAGGTAGAAATAACCCAACACGGCCCTGGGGGAAGGGTGAGTTGTCGAGGCTGGAGTCAGCAATTCAATGAATCATCATAAAGCAGAAAGACCTCAGTCAGGTGTGACTCTGTGCCCCTTCTCCCTGGTATGGGCAGACTGGCAGACAAGGTGAGCTCTCAGTGGCTGGTGTTGGGCTGTTCCTGAATGAGCTTATGTCTGTAACTGAGGTAATGACCTAGGCTGACACTGCTATGCAGTACTGGGGGGGCACTGCGTTGTTGGAGGTGCCATCCTTCAGATGAAACGTTGAACCAAATTCCAGAAAGGAATGGCACAGTCTGACCAGGTGCATGTTAAAGATCCCATGGCTCTTTCGACAAAGAGAAGGGAGTTTCTCCTGGTGACCTGGCCATCAATCCCCCAAAATAAAATTGGTCATTTGTTTCATGCCTGTGTGGGACTTTGTTGTGTGCAAATTGGCTGCCGTGTTCACCTACGATTACAGCCACTACCCCCTTCCCTCCCT